AGTGTCTACAGCCCTCATGGAAATGCCAATGGCACCCTCAGGGAGATGATTCACCCCGCTGGGATGGCTGACCCCAAACACAGTGAGGGTGGAGGAGGTGAGGCCCCCTTTCCTCACAGGGCAGAGAGCAGAAGAGGGAGAATCCCTGGAGTTGGGGGGGTGTTTGCCTGTCACCCTCTCCCCATTTTCATGGCTGTGGTGTCTCCCTGTTCTCTGGCCCTACCGGCTTCCTTCCTCTCCCTTTCTCCTGCCCTTTTTTCCAACCATCCCAAGGTTTCCTGAGCCTCACAACGTTCAAGCTGAGCGGTGGGGAGTGGGCCGCCTAGCAGAGAAACCCGGAGCCCTGGACCGCGAGCAGCGGGGTCGTGATGCGACAATGGGAAGCCCTTCGGGACCCTGGACACGAGGACCTCGTGTGTCCCGGGTGCCCTCCAGCAGCAGCCCCAGGGGACGGAGGATGGGGGTCCTCGAGGGGGCCACACTTTCGGAGCCCTAGGGATTTGAGCGGGACGGCGACGTCTCCACACTGAGCGGGTGGCAAAGTCCCCACGAGGATGAAGGATAAACCCGGCGCTCCTCACCCCACCAGGCCCCGCATATCCTAGAACTTCTTGATACCGGCACCGCCTGTTTTTTGCCGCGATTGCGGAGTCCTCCCAGGTCTTCCAAAGGCCGTTTCTTCCCGCAGACTTTGGACCCGGAGGCCTGGGGACATCGGCCTGCAGCGGGGCTCTCACTTTGGGGTCTCCACCGGGCAGGACCGGGTCGGAGCTGGGGAACAGCGGGCGCCCTGGGAGGAGCGCGCAGAGCTGGGAGAGACGCTGCCAGGTGGAAAGTGAAACCCGCAGGAGGGAACTTTCCCCGAAAGTCATCTGTGTTTGAAAGCAGCGATCATCTGCCCCCGCTACGACAACACGGTTGGGTAAATATCTAGAACCAGTGCCCAGGGCCCCCTGCCGGGGTTCCGCATCCGCAGACCCTCTTGGTCCAGAAGAGATCAGGGCGAGCCCACCCGGTGACCGTCCCTAGGGCTCCCGGCGCCACTCCTCCTTACTACTTCACCTCCATATATTCACCGGTTTCAGGATAAAAACCATAAGTCATGTGTGCAAGGCTCCCCAACCCCTGCCTGCTCCACTGTCATTGGCCACATGCCCAGGACGAAACTTTATTGGATTCTTCTCATCTTTTCAGGGAGTCTTTACCCCATTTCAAACGCATATGAATACATATTCTTAACTCCGACTTGGATAGTTTTGAGTCTTGAGCCCTGACACCCCCTTCCTTCAGGAAGCCTGGACCAGTTTCCCTCCCTCTACAGTGGATGTTTCACCATCCTCTGCCCAAGCTGGGTCTTCACAATCACACACAAGAGTGTAGCCAGCATTGCCATCCCGTGACACGAGACGCTTTAAAGGTGTATTAATTTACACAGCAATTCTGTGCCTGGAAATTTATTCTACACAATTGAATTGGGATTCATGCAGGCACAGTTTCTGCAGCATTTGGTTTCTGTAAAAGTAACTGACTGGAGACCATCTGGATCTTCATCCACAGATGCCGGTTACCTTTGTTGTGATGCAGTCATTCTATGCAATGTCAGGCAGAGATAAAAAAGGAAAAGAATCTGTATGTGCGGGTCTGGGAAGATCTTCAAAATGTGTTATTTTGAGGTAGACTCTGCATGCAGTAGAGTGCCTATGGGCTTATATTTGTCTTAAAAACCAGCATTGATGCATCTACACATCTCTACTGTTAGTAAGGAAAACAGTGTTGCCATAACTTACTGCTAGTCTGTTTATCCATTTTAGAAAAAATAAATGTAGTTGAAAAGCCATGGTGGCGGGAATTGGTCATCACTGGCCCAGATGCTACACTGCCCTACACATCGTCCCATCTGAGGCTGCTGGAGGAACAGCATGTGGAATGCAGTCACGTTGCAGAGAGGAACCTAAAGTCAAACTGGACCACGGGTTTTACGGGGACCTCTGCCTCTTCACCCAACCCCCACCTGGTCAGGCAGTGACCCTGGAGAGACTGGGATGATGTTGGGAGGGCAGTTAAGATGACGGTCCAATGGTGGGAGTATGGTGAACACGGAGAGCTCACAGCATCAGGGGAGTAGCTTGTATGATGCTGGGAGCACTGGGAAGGCAGGGAGCCAGGGCGCAGTGCTCACTGCTCCTCCCATCTGCGACAGGATTGGGGTGAGTGATGGGAAAAGTTTCATGAGAAGCACAGTTCCCAATCCTGGCAGAATGACTAGCCAGGTTGCATTCACAGCCAAGACCCACTCAGCCCCTGGATTGATCTAGGGCAGAGCATGGTAAAGTCAGGAGTGTGAATACTATGGAGGCTTCTGCCAGAGCACAGGAAACAGCAACCAGAGGAAGGCTAAGACTACCACCCCCCCTACTCTCCCACATTTTAGGGGGAGAAAGCCTTGAGCCCAGGAGGCTGAAGTTTCGGTGACACATGATCCTGCCACTGCACTCCAGACTGGTGACAGAGCAAGACTCTGTCACACACAGGCTCACACACACAAATTAAATTGTGTGAGCAGTTGTCACACAGGGAGATCCGGATGCCATCACTGTGGATTCAGGTCTCAGGGAGCAGGAGGGTGTGCTGTATTGTGGGAAGGTGAGGGACACACATGGGAGGGGGTATTTGTACTTGGCTTTGATGGATGGCTGGCCCTTTGGCCAGGGGGAACAGGCCAGCATAATGCAGTAGCAGTTGGGAACCACCACGAACTTTCACTTGAACCTGCTCTGCTGAGCCCTCTGCGCCATCTGTGGACCTGGGCGAGGGCGGCTGCTGAACTGGGCGCTCAGGGCCGATCTCTCTGAGGAGCTTTCTAAACCAGCAAGTGTCTTCCAGGTTGAGATTTTAGGGTCAAGGTCCTTAATGCTGGCCTCGATTTTAATGAGCAAAGTCTTTTGGCCAGTCTGCATTGGGCGGAGCAGGAGTAAGACATAAATTTTTAAAATTTTCAAAGCTGTTTAATGTTGGTAAAAACATAGAACATAAAATTCCCATCTTGGTTAATTGCTTAGTGTACAATATGTTGATTTAAACCTCTGAAACCCTGCCTGCTGTTTCTGTAATAAAACCTAGCCCAGACCTGGTATGGTGGATCATGCCTGTAATCCCAGCATTTTGGGAGGCCCAGGCAGGTGGATCACCTGAGGTCAGGAGTTTGAGACTAGGACATTCTCAAAGATGTCACACTTCTAGCAGACAGGCAAAGGAATATCTGAGCAATTATCATAAAGGGAGATCCAGATGTGCTCTCTGTGGATCCTGGTCTCAGGGAGCAGGAGGGTGCTATTTCTTTTGGGAAAATGAGAGATATACATGGGAGGGGTATTTGTGCCCAGCTTTGAAGGATGGCTGGCCCTTGCCCAGGGGGAACAGGCCAAAAGCAAGCCCTGGCAGTTGGGAGCCACGGGGAACCATGGGGGCAGTTGAACCTGCTCTGCTGAGCCCCCTGGGCCTTCCCCACACCTGGTGGGGGCGATGGTGGGGGCGCTATTCTAAGGGGAGCTCAAGGCCAATCTCTCTGATGTGCTTTCTAAATCAGCAAGGTGTCCCACAGGTTGTGATTTTAGAGACAAGGACCTCAATGCTGTCCTCGATTTTAATGAGCAGAGTCTTTTTGCCGGTCGAATTGCGCAGATCTGAGCAAGACACACATTCTTAAGATTATTTTTAAAGCTGTTTAATTTTGGTTAAAATGTAGAACATAAAATTTACCATCTTAACCAGTGTTTAGTTTACAATATGTTGTTTGAAGCCTGCGAAATCCTGGTGCTTCTGGAATAAAATCTAGCCCCAGGCCAGGCAGGGTGGCTCACCCCTGTCATCTCAGAACTTTGGGAGGCTGAGACGGGCTCATCACTTGAGCCCAGGAGTCCGAAATCAGTTTGGGGAACATAAGGAAATTCGGTCTCCACTAAAATACACAAATTAGCCGGGCTTGGTGGCGCGCACCTGTGGTCCCAGCTACTCCAGAGGCTGAAGTGAGAGAATCCCTTGAATTAGAAGGCTGAGGTTGCAGTGAATGGAGATTGCGCCGCTGCACTCCAGCCTGGGCGGCAGAGCGAGACCGTCACGAAGAAACAACCAAACCTACCCGGGCTGTAACCACGTCCACCCGGGATTTGGGGAGCGGCCGCGGGGATGAGATCCGGCCTGGGGCTGCACATTGGGAAGGGAGCGGGTCACTCCGCAGCACAGGGAGAGGGAAGGCGGGTGTCGCTGTTCTAGGCGAGGACAGGGAGACCCTGTCGCCGCTGAACACGGCTGTGCATTTTCTTCATCTTTCTGTGCATCAGTGTCCACACTGGGTTAATAAAAAAGGAACAAAATACTGTGATGATTACATGAGAGTTCGGTGCCCGGGCAGGCAGCCAAGAAGTGAAACCACGAGCCGCCGCTGCGATCAGCTGGAAGGGAGGGCAAAGAGACTTGGGCCGGGGCAGGCGGCCAGAAAGGAGCGCGGTGGGGGCGGGGCGCTCGCATTGAGCGGAGAGGGAAAACACCCACTAGACGCAGGTTTTCCTTTTGACCGCAAAGCTCTCAGGGTCCGGGCGGGGGCCAGAATGGAGCGCCGAGGGGGCGGGGCTCGAGGTAAGTGCATATGCAATGAAGTAGAGTTGACTTGGCTGAGCTCTAGCGGGTAGACATCGGAATGCCAAAAGTGTTTAAGGGAGTGTGTCTCCTCCGAGGGGCGGGGAAGAACAGGTGCCAGACCTGCCTGTGTTTCACACTGCATTCCCAGGAAATTCCTGTCAGCCAGCAAGGCCCGGGTAATACGTCCGCTGGGTCCCAGCTCTACAGTCCCCTGAACCTTAGGTCCAATGGGACAGCCGGTGACCTAGAGCAACAGGGTGATTCACCTGCCAGGCTCCCCATCCATCAAGTCACTAGTCTTCAGCGCTCCCGGTCCCCAAGGGCAGCGGCCGCCAGCCCCGCGTTCCTCCAGTGCCTCCCGCTTCTGCTCCAGCTGTCAGGCTGGTTCCGAGCAGAGAGGGCCGGTGAGTTCTGGGATGGAGCCTAAGCGGGTCGGGGACCAAACCTGGGGGCTGTGGGCTGCAGCGAGTTTCAAAGCAGGTGAGGCTTCTGGAAGGACCGGCGCGATCTCCCCGGACTGCGCCCCAGCTCAATTCCGCTCCTCCGCTCCTTCTTGCCGGGTCCACTCCTCACTGCTGCTTTTTTCCCGCCTCCAGGAGCAGCGCAGAGTGGAGGCTGGAAAGGAACCTCGGGAGGGTGGAGGGGCCAGAGAGCTGCAGAGGGCGAGGTGGGGCGGAAATCCCTTGTGCAGTTCGGCAGTCCCACCCGCCCTCGGGAACCAGAAACCAGAGCCCCGGCACCCGAGCTGGGGTCAGGACAGGGATGAAGGGGGTTCCAGAGGGACAGGATCACAGACACCCCCACCAGCCACAGGCCTGCCTGCTCTCACCCGCTCCCCACCACACAAACCCTCCAGCACCCCCAGGGCTCCCTGTCCTTGAATTTTCCCCTGCGCTGTCCTGCAGACACTCACGTGCACCCAGGGGCTCAGCAGACACTTCCCACCCCTCCCCTCGCCACCCACTGCCACCACCCAGGTCACATCCTCTCACTCCCCACCTCAGTCCAGTTGGTCACCCCAGAGGTCTCCCTATACATGAAGGGGCCTTCACCCCCTCCTACACCACATGGCACCTTCCACCTCCTGCCTGAGAACACACCCCAGCAAACACAGCCCAAGCTCCCCACAGAACTACAGGGCCCAAGCTCCCTACGGACCATCCTCCCCACAGGGGGGATGGGAAGCGCCATTTCCTCCAGGATGACCCTGGTAACTCTGGTGAGTAGAGGTGCCCACTTCCCCTTTGGTGCCCTGACCGGCCTGTTCCTACTGGGGAGCCAGCGTCATAGAGAATAGTCACTGTGCAGACAGAGGCCAGGAAATCCTTTCTAGAAAGGGAGGAAGGATGCCCTGTGATTTTACAGACTTTAAGTTCTCCGTTTCTGTATCTAGTCGTGTCCCTTTGTACAGCTGTGATGATTACATGAGGCAGTCATGGAAGGAAGCCTGTAATGGTAGGCTCATGTCCCCCACTGGCAGCCAGCCAGTAGGGCAGGGGGGTAGGGCCCGGGGTAAGTGCATATGCCCTTCATAGCAAACTCTAGTTGGCCACAAATACCTCTGGAGGAGGTCAAAAAGAATTGTTCCACTTGCTGCAGGGTTAAAGGGTCCTTCCCTCACTGGAAACTGGTGTCTTCTAGTAATGGGTTCAGGGTCTGAGAAGTGGCTTAATTCTGAAAACTGGGCAGAGGAACCTTGTTCTTGATGGACTGGCTACTTTCAGCCTCCTGGTCATCCATCATTTGTTTTATCTTTGTTTGTTTTAGTTATTTACATCCAGCAGTATCCAGGTGGAGTCTCCATCTCTTTTGGATCTTGGAGCCCTTTGTTCTATGAGCCATGGGCATAGCTTTGTATACCTGAGGTTCCCAGCTGGCATTGGGACTTCTCTAATCATTTCCATCATGGCACCCTCCTTCCTCCTGACAGTTGACAGCCTCCACCTGGAATCTGTTATTTCAGTATTTCTTATCCCATTACTCCTGGGAGCCCATTTCAGGAATAGCATCTCCTACCCCCAACCTTGGCCTTCAGCAACAGGCATCCCTGAGCTTCCTCCCATTCTGGTGCCTTCTCATGGGGCCTTCTTTATATGTTGGGTAAACAGGAGGCCTCCAGGCTCCCCATGAGCACAGTGGGTGGACATTGTTCTGGATTTTCACACTTAGAACCCTCTGGCATGGGCATGTCTCTGAGCCTGTGATCCCTCCCTCTACGACCTGCCTTAGATTTTCAGATTTTCTGTTTCTTGCTCTGTGGACCATCCCCTTGTCCAAGGTTTCAGGAAGGCATCCTCATAGCAGAAGGGCACCATCACCAGGGGCTTTGCCAACATGTTAAATCCTGTGACAATAACAATTAACTCTGCTTTATCCAAGTGGGTTCCATCCACACTCCATCCCACCGTGCACCAGCATCCTCAAGGGCAGCCCCCCCACACCCTCCCACCTCCCGCAGTCCATGTGGGCTGCTGCTGAGGATCCTCTGCCATCCAGGCCCTTCCTCCTTTAGCAGGCCTGGCACCTCTCTAGCAAGGTCATGTGTTGACCATGTGGACAGAGGGGCAGGGGACATGTCTGGGGACATGTGGTTTCTCAGCAGGCAGAGACCTCCTCCTCCTCCTTGTCTTCATGCAAGGGGGAGCACTCTTAAACTTGTGGACACCACAGTTTTGGAGGGGACACTCCTTGTTGGGCCAGCCCAGGCCTCCAGAGGTGTGCTCTTATTGTCACTGTATGGAGGAGAGCTATCTAGGGGTCTTTTTCTGCCCACCCTACCCACACACATCTTTCTCCACAGACCCTCACTCTCTTTCCTATGATGTGACCATCACCCCCAAGTTCAGACCTGGACCACGGTGGTGTGTGGTTCAAGGCCAGTTGGATCGAAAGACTTTCCTTCACTATGACTGTGGCAACAAGACAGTCACACCTGTCAGTCTCCTGGGGAAGAAAATAAATGCCACAAAATCCTGGAAAGAACAGAACCCAGTCCTGAGAGAGCTGGTGGACATGCTCACAGAGCGACTACTTGGCATTCAGCTGGAGAATTACACATCCAGGGGTAAGTTTAAGATGGCCCAGGACTGGAGGGAGCAGTTACAGGGGTAGGTTAGAGGCATTTGTAGTTTTCATAAAAAATACAAGTGGGAAGGTCATCTCACCCACAAGAGGCCGAGAGGCAAGGCCAGGATGTGGCAGAGAGAGTAAGGCCTGGAAATTGTAAGGGGAACAGGATGGGGGCTCAAAATGTGCCAAGACCAGAGCTGATCTTTTTCTGTGGGGGCAGAACCCCTCACCCTGCAGGCCAGGATGTCTCGTGAGCAGAAAGCCGAAGGGCACAGCAGTGGATCTTGGCAGTTCAGCCTCGATGGACAGATCTTCCTGCTTTTGGCCTCAGAGAACAGAATGTGGACAATGGTTCATCCTGGAGCCAGAAAGATGAAGGAAAAGTGGGAGAAAGACAAGGATATGACCACATCCTTCCATTACTTCTCACTGGGTGACTGCACAAGATGGCTTGAGGACTTCCTGATGGGCATGGACAGAACCCTGGAGCAAAGCACAGGAGGTAACGGAAGAAAAGAAATGGGGATCTCGAATTAGGTCAGAAATGGTGATCTCGAGAAATTAGTTCCTGAGTTCAGCTTCAATGATCCCAGTGTACACATTTATGTTAAAACAACCCCCTCGTGGGGTCTCCTCCTGGGGGCACCTGTGCTCTCCCAACCTCCTCTCCCTTCTCTCTCCTGACTCCTCTTCCTCACTGCACTTGCTTCTGCTGCCCTCACTGTGGATTTCTCACCAGCCTCCAATCTGTGGCCATCACTGTGTTTCCACCTTTCTCCTTAATGTTCCCTCCTGCTAGGAGCACTTTTCACTTTCTTTCCTCTACCTTGGTCTGTATCTGGAAATCCATCAAAACAACCTCCAGTGCCAGCCCCAACACCCTCCCCTCCCCCAGCCTTGGACATCACCTCCTCTTCCGCCACTGGAGGAGGGTGGGCTGTGCTGTCACCTTGCTTCCCTCAGCAGCTGTGTGAGCTCCCTGAGGACAGGGATGCCCCCTCTCCCTTCCTAACCCAGGACCTGTCACAGTGCCTGCCCAACAGCAGAGGGGGACACAATCTCTGCCTTGCAGGATGACCTGGGGCAGCAGGAGCTGAGGAGGGGTCCCCTAAGATTTGGAGCCTGGACAAGGGTTGTCACTCTTGTGTTTCCATTTCAGCACCCCCCACCATGGCCCCAGACACTGCCCAACCCAAAGCCATGCTCAGTCCCTGGAGCCTCTTCATCATCCTCCTCTGCTTCATCCTACCTGGTACCTGAGGAGAGTCCTCTGTGAAGGGAGGAGAAACTAGAACAAGCCTCCTGAAGGACAGGGCGACAGGGCTCCCTCAATAGTCAAAAATACCCAAGTCTGAATTAAGAATATGTATTGAAATGGCATAAAGACTCCCTGGAAAGATGAGAATCCAATAAAGTTTCCTTCTGGGCGTGTGGCCAATGAGTTTGGACTGAGGCAGGGGCTGTGGAGGTTCCTCCTTCATCCTCGAGGGGACGTTGCCACTGGCTCAGTGTGGAGAGGTCACTGCCCAGCTCGGATCCGTGCGGATCCCACAGTGTGGCCCCCAGAAGACTCCCCATCCTCCTTGCCCTGGGGCTACTGCGGGAGGGTGCCTGGGACGTACTAGGTCCCGAGTGTCCAGGGTCCCACAGAGACTTCCCAGTGTCGCCTCCCCGACCCCAACACTCATGGCCCAGCACCCCTGGTTTCTCTGCTGGGCTGTGGGCCAGGAGCATGGACCTCGTGAGGCAGAGAAAACCTTTGGATGGGTGGAACGGAAGCATTGGGGGGAGGGCGAGAGAAAGGGAGAGGAAGGAAGCAGGTGGGGCCAGAGAACAGGGAGAAACCCCAGCCCCCAAAATGGGGAGAGGGTGACACTAGGACAGCCCCCACACTCCAGGGACCCTCTGTCTCCTGCTCTTTGCCCTGTAAGGAACGCAGGTCCCACCCCTTCCACTCTCTTTGTGTTTCGGGTTAGACATTCCAGCTGGATGAGGCGTCCCTTGTGGGTGCGTTTGGCATTTCCCTGAGGGCTGTGGACACTGAGCACCTTTTCCTGGACTCACTGCCATTTGCATTTCTCTTCTGATGCCAGCTGCCAAGAGGTCCCAAAACACCAGTGGGTCTGCGACCCCAGCCGGTGTTGGGCTCTTGACACCGCCTGGAGAAATGAATTCAAGGACCAGTAGGAAAATGGAGAAAGGACGGAGATTTATGGAAAAGTGCACACTCAAGTAAAAGGAGCCCAGGGGAGTTCCAGGGAGAGGCAGGTGCACACGGCTTTGGGGCTGCCGCCTTTCTGGGCTTCTTTAACCAAGGGGTGAGATATCATGGAAATTCCTGGAAAAAGGAGATGATTTCTCAGAACTGCGATGCCATCCATTTTTACACCAAACATAGACATTCTCCAAACTGCTAGGGAGCTGGCTGGTGTGTTTACTATGTTCATCAGCATGTAATGAGGTCCAAGGTGAAACCTACATCAAATCCAGGGCCATGTTGGGTCCGCTCATTCTTAGCCAGCTTGGTTCACACCCTGTCTTTTGGGGTCTTACAGCCTCGAGCCCTTGCATATATTTCAACAGATTCCTTTGGCTAGTCTCCTGAAACTGCTGCCTAAAAGTTTATCTTCTTTTACGAACACCCTTTATTATACCTGTCTCCCTTTGGAGAAATATTTATTCAAATTCTTCGTATATATTGAAATTGGGTTATTTTGCTTTATAATATTGAGTTGCAAGAGTTCATTATATATTCAGGATACCAGTACCTTACAAGATATATGATTTTCAAATATTTTCTCCATTTAAAAAGTTTTTCTTAACCTTCTAAGTGGAGTCCTTTCTGAAACACAAATGTTTTATATTTGTGTGAAATGAAATTAAACGACCTTTAATTTTGCCATTTGCTCCATTGGCATATAGTGTTCATTTCTGTCCCTGAATTCTAAGTTCACATCCATCACCCACATGTGAACCCAGCATCTACCACAGTGGCTACCATAGGATAGAGTTTAAGACACATGAGAAGAATCCAATCATCAGACTACCCCAGGGCTGCTAGAACTCAGAAAGGGATCCCCATCATTTGGGGGATTGGACAAAGGGCTTCATTTCTGTTCTTTCCAGCACCAACCTCCATGGCTCCACCCATCCCTACTACTTCCTCCATTGAGATTGGCTGGTCAGGATAGGGGCAAGGGCAGGAGCAGCTACACCTGGTCTCCTTCACCACCCACGATGGGGTGCAACCTTGGTGGGACCTGTTGAGCATGACAACCCCTGGGCCTAGGGGACCTGGAGCCTCCACAGCCCCACAGAGACCAGGAGAAGCTGTTCAGCCACTTGGAGAGACAGCCAGAGAGTACTTCAAGGACTGTGTGGAGCTCTGGAGAAGCCAGGAGTCCACAACTTTCTTTTGTGGAGCATTAGATGTTTAGGCAGGATCATGTCTACAGAAGAGGCTGTCACTTTGGCTTTTCAATGCTTTCACCTCCTTGCCCCTCCAGAGCAGAGGGGTGCTTACTTGTTTTTATGGATTATTGTGTCAACCAAAACAAGAGCTCAGAATCACCCTCAAGATTTGAAACTTCAAGATTTGACAAAATGCACAACATTTTCATGGCACTTCTATTTTTAGGAAATTGTGTCTGAAGAAAACATTTTATTCTATGGCATTGCCCAAATGACTTATGCAGAATTTTTAAAACAACATAATGTCATACAACCATGTGAAAAGTAAAAACTAAAAAGCAACAACTTTTTGGGCCAGGAGAGGCGACTCACGCCTGTAATCTCAGAACGTTGGCAGGCAAGTGCCAGAGGATCGCTTGAGGCTGGGAGTTGGAGATCAGCAGTGGCAACATGGTGAGAGCCTATCTGCACAGAAAATTTCAGAAAATTGATCAAGTGTACTAGCATGTGACTTTAGCTCCAGCACCTCAGGGGGCGAAGGTGGGAGGATCACTTGAGCCTGGGAGTTTGAGGTCACAGTGAGTCGTGGTGGTGCCACTGCATTCCGAACTGGGAGACAGAATGAGAGCCTGTCTCAAAGAAAACGACAACAGCAACAGAAGTAATGAAAAATAATTTAAACCCCAATAAGCTAATCTGACAGAAGAGTTGTTGGAACCAAATGACCAAATAATGCAATTTTTCACATTCGATGAATGAGAGGGCTTGCTGAGTGTTAGTATTCTCAGAAGCTTCCATCTCATGAAATCTAATTTCCTCTGGTGAATCCGCTCCTTAGTCTAGGTCCTCTGAGGAGCAAGTGCCTCCATGGGATTCACATGAGGGATTTCATTGGTGGAAACTCCAGGAGAACCATTCAGCGGGATGCAGTTCTGACGCCAAGTGCAGGAGGGAGGGACAAGAGGAGGGGCAGGTGCATCCTACACTACAGTGAATGGTGCACAGGCCACTGGGTGCCGCATGCAGAAGAATGAGGCGGGCCCTTCCTTCCAGCACACACAGAAAGTAGCTCTAGATGAATGGCAGGTGTCCACCTAACACGTGATACTTTGAGAGTCTCAGAAGAAAATAGAGCAGTAAATTTTCATGACCTGGATTTGGCAAAGGCTTCTTAAGTACTGGGTGCCAATAACGCAAATGGCAAAATAAAAGGTGGTTTAATTTCATTTCATGCAAATGTAAAACTTCTGTGCTTCAAAAAAAAAAAACCCTCCATTTAGAAGTTAAAAAGCTTTAAAAATGGAGAAAATATTTGAAAATCATATATCTGGTAAGGGACTGGTATCCTGAATATATAAAGAATTCTTGCAACTCAACATTATTAAGCAAAAAAAGAATTTAAATATATGCAAAGAATTTGAATACATGTTTCTCCAAATGAGACAGGTGTAACACAGTGTGGCCGCAAAAGAAGAGAAAATTTTAGGCAGCGGTTTCAGGTGAGCAGCAAAAGGAATCTGGTGAAATATCTGCAGAAAAATATCTTGTAGGCTGATAAGACCCTACAAGACAGGGTGTGGACCAAGCTGGCTAAGAATGTGCGGACCCAACAAGATCCTGGATTTGACCTCGGTTTCCCCTAGGACCTTATTATATGCTCATTAACAAACTAAACACACACACACCAGCGTCCTGGCAATTCTGAGAATACCCATATTTGGTGTATAAATGGGTGTCACCACAGTTCTGAGAAATCCTTTCCTTCTTCCAGGAATTTTCATGAATATTCTACCCCTTGGTTGGAGAAACCCAGAAAGGTGGCAGCCCCAGACGCCCTTGCACCTGCCTCTCTCTGGAGCTCCCCTGCACTCTTTTGACTTCAGTGTGCACTTTTCCTTTTGCAATAAATCTCTGTCCTTTCTCTGTTTTCCTACTGGTCCTTGAATTCATTTCCCCAGGTGGTGTCAAGAGCCTGACACCAGCTGGGGTCGAGTTCGCATCAGCTTTTGGGGACCTCCCCTTGCCTCCTGGCATCAGAAAAAGAATGCAAATGGCAGTGAGCCCAGGAAAAGGTGCTCAGTGTCTACAGCCCTCATGGAAATGCCAATGGCACCCTCAGGGAGATGATTCACCCCGCTGGGATGGCTGACCCCAAACACAGTGAGGGTGGAGGGGGTGGGCCCGCTTTCCTTACAGGGCAGAGAGCAGGAGATGGAGAATCCCTGGAGTGTGGGGGTGTTTGCCTGTCACCCTCTCCCCCTTTTCATGGCTGGGGTATCTCCCTGTTCTCTGGCCCTACCGGCTTCCTTCCTCTCCCTTTCTCCTGCCCTCTCTCCTTTCCTTCTTTTCCAACCATCCCAAGGTTTTCTGAGCCTCACAACGTTCAACCTGGGGGGTGGGGAGTGGGCAGCCTAGCAGAGAAACCCGGAGCCCTGGACCTCGAGCAGCGGGGTCGTGAGGTGACAATGGGAAGCCCCTGCGGGACCCTGGACACGCAGGACCTCGTGTGTCCCGGGTGCCCTCCCGCAGCAGCCCCAGGGGAAGGAGTATGGGGATCCTCCCGGGGGTCACACTGTCGGAGCCCTAGGGATTCGAGCTGAACGGTGACGTCTCCACACTGAGCCAGTGGCAAAGTCCCCACGAGGATGAAGGAGTACCTGCGGCTCCTCACCCCACCAGGCCCCGCATTTCTTAGAACCTCTTGATACGGGAACCGCCTGTTTTTTGCCGCGATTGCCGAGTTCTCCCAGGTCTTCCAAAGGCCGTCTTTTCCGCAGACTTTGGACCCTGAGGCCCGGGGACATTGGCCTACAGCGGGGCACCCACTTCGGGGTCTCTACTGGGCAGAACCGGGTCGGAGCTGGGGGACAGCGGGCGCCCT